CTTCACGATGACCTTATGGGTAGAAAGGTACTTTTATTATCTCCATTTTACTGCTGAGACACGGAGAGGATAAATAACTCGCCCAACGCCACACAGCTTGAAAGGGTAGAGCCTGGATTCTAGTCCAAGCTGTCCAACTCCACAGTTCGAACTAACCACTAGGTATAAGTTGTTTCTCATGATAAGGAATTACCTTTGAAGGTACAGAATGAACCAGGAGCCAAAATGAAAATGCATATGGACTTTTTAATCATCCAATAGTTCATCTATTTATTCAGCAAATTCATTCATTCAGCAAATCTTTATTGAACATCTACTATGTGCTAGGCCCTTCTCTATATGCTGAAGATTACAGGCAGGTGGAATCCCTACACATCTGAAAAAGTGAATAAATGCCCTGAATGACTGAAAGTGTTGTGCTTTGTGGGTTTGGTGGGCCCAAAACACTGCACCTTTGGGACCCATATTCTTCCACATGTGTGAACTATAATTACATCTCTGATGAGTTTCCAAAAAGTTATAATTAATGCACCAAAGCTCCAGAATCCAGTGGAGACTGGGATGAGGCAGCAGTGTTGGAGGGAAAAACTAGTGAAGAGCCCAGGAAAGGAGAGGTTGCCACTGCCTGAGTCCGTGACCGTGACTGGTAGCCTGTCTGGGTGCAGTATGCTCCTGCATAGATTGAGGATGTTGCACTGATGACCTCTAAGGCCCAGCTTTAGGGTCTAGGATCCTAGGCAGAACCACTGCCACGCTCAGGCACAGCACACAACAACCACACTCAACGTGACAGCTGTAATAGACAGGGCAGCCTAGAGAACGCCACGTGATACTGCAGAATAACTTACCAAGTCTTGGTATCAACCGTCTTTCCGAAGGAACACCCCGGACCTGTGCTGCTACCCACCCGCTTCACAATGTGGGGTTGTGTTCCTGCTTAGAGGCCAGCAAGCAGAGGCCACGCAGGCCCAGGGGGCAGGAATAGCATTATAAACTCCTGATGTTAGGACGGGACGCTGAGTAGAACCCCCAGGGTCAGGAAAAGAGCTGCAATCCACAGAAATGGGGGACTACTCCTCCTGTCCCTGGAAGGCCCCTTGTGATCTTTGCCAGACTTTGGGCTCTAGCTGGGCCTCAAGAAGTATCAGGCGGGATTTATCACTATTTATAATGACTGGCACATGACCGAGTGCAGAACTGAAACTCAGATGGCCAAGTGGCTGGAAGTGCCCTTACGAGAGAAGGAAAAAGTTTGGGTGAAGAATGAGGGTGTTAGAAAGAGACACACATATGTGCTTAGAATGTGATTTCAGCAAACTTCACCACGGCCCCACCCCGCCGCAGCCCTTGGTTATTGCAAACCGCTGGCCTGATCCTGCCTCAGATACGAGCACTTACTCCCAGGTATAAATACCACCCAAACTCTTCCTGTATTAGGCAATTGCTCAAACCTCGACCCCCATTGCAGTAGAAAAAAATGCCTTCCCTATGAAAGTGCTTTGAATTTCCTTTTTTACCTCGTCTTCACCTGACACGTTCCAGTAGCTCCCTTCCCCTCCTGTGTGTCTTGGTGTTTCAAACTTCCAATTAAGGAGCACTGCCAGGACTTGGATTTTACCCCCACTCCCTTCCTCAGTTGCTCCGATGCAGTTAGGTTAAAGGTGCTAAAGCAAAATGTCCAAAAATTAGAGTGAAGCCAAAATCCACCTGATGACTAATTTGGACTGTGACTTTTCGGATGTGAGGCCAACTTTCTAGTCTCCAAGAATCCTCAGCCAAAGGGCTTCTGCCACCACAGCTGGCACTGGGGAAATGCAACCAACAGTCTGGGTGTCAGCTGAGGACCAGTGTTCAAAGGGGTTTCAGTGTGCTTTGAACTGTGAATAAAGAAGATGTTTATATGGATAAAATAGACCACTTATTTCCTGGATTTAATTCAAAACTAAAATGTAGAAGCGAGTTCAAATTTGAGTCTGATATAATCACACTTGCCTTGACAAGTTAAGGAAAATTAAAAAATTCTACAAAAATAAAGGTAACCATTGGCAATACTAGAAAGTAGAGGAGGCTATATTGCAGGGCCAGGTCACCTGCCCTGTCCCTGGGGTGCCCGCCATTGTGGTACACAAGCTAAGCCTACACACTGCCCTGTCCAAACTCACCCATTCTGTGCCTAGTGGAGACCAAGCATATTTCAAAATGGACATGAACTAGAGGCATTGGGATAGTAATCAGAGATGCTTAGAGATCTAATATTTGAAATAAACCAAAGGGGTGGAACTCAAACACAATTTGGGGGATCTGGGGAGATATTTTAAGACAATTACCTTGAGATTTTAATCTCCTGTGATGAAATTCTAATGACAGATTCGTTTCCCTACTCAATTCCCTTCTCTGGGCTTTAGCCTTGTTCTCTCCACTGTAAATCAACTTACTGACCAAGGACGTATAGAAAGTGCCATTTGTGTTCCAAATCCTGTGAACAAAAGTCTCTGAAACCTACAATTTTCTGTGGTGGATACAACACACAGAGCTAGACAGAACTAGTTTCAAAGGACTTTTGCAGCAAGATGAAGGAAATTTGCCAAGAAGCTTGTGAACAGCTTGCCAAATTTCAGCCCAGGACAATTTTATTATCTTTAACTTACCAACCTATTATAGAAATGGGTTTATAACAGATATTCTTAGTGATGGCTTCTTAGCAGGCAACCACAGCAGTTGGCACACAACTAACACACTGCCCCTCTGGAGTGGACCGTTATGTCCAAGTTCTGGCTTTGAAAACCTCGATGTGTAATGGCTGAAGCCTAGCCTGCCTGCTCTGCCTGGAGTGCTCATACGAGAATGAATTAACTTCCCCGCCAAACCAGGCATCCCAGTCCTGAGCCAGAAAGCCAATGGCTGTTAAAAGTTAGAAAGCAAGCAAAATGCAAAGCAACAGTGCTTTCATTATACTATTAAACCATAATCACCTTTTCCTATGAGCATCTTTCTGTTTTCCCTGAAGGGGCACTGTTTTAACTGCCACTGGTGCAGAGGTGCCAACTCAGCGGAGAGCACTTCCTGTAGGTCTGGGAGGCGGTTGAGTTCGTCAGGCTGTGGCATGCCCACTGACCCAGGCAGCAGCAGGCCGTGAGGGGGCCACCATCCTGAGAGAGGATTGGGGGTGAGGGGCGGGGTGTCAGGGACTAAGGCTCCTGGAGGGTGCAGGCTCAGAGAGTGAGGCGCCTGGATTAAGGGATGATGTCAGTTTCCTTCTCTCAGGGCTAGGACTAGGCTGAGGCAAAAGAGGTGTCTAGAGCACAGGATTTAAGGCTTTCACTGCCAGGGTCATGCATGTGGCTCTTTTACCCTAGTCCCAGCCCTGCTCAGGGTCACCAGCCGAGGGGTGGGTGTATGGGTGTGTGTGTGTGTGTGTGTGTGTACACATTGTAAAGGTCAGTGGCTCTTAAAGCATGGTCCTCAGCTAGACCAGCAGCAGCAGTGGCAGCATTAACTGCGAACTCGTTAGAAATGCAGATTCTCAGGCCCCACCCAGAAGCACTGAATCAGAAACTTGGGGGGGGGTCATCAATCTGTGTTGTAATACATCCACCAGGTAGTTCTGATTTAGCTAAAGTTTGCAAAGCACTGTGCTAGAGAAGAATGATCTCCACGTGGCCTATGTTAGACCACCTCCCAAAATGTGTCACACACAACCAGAACATGGAAAGTGAAGGGGTGGTGAGATGAAAGAGACGGTCTTAATGCCATCATCAGCCAGGTAAGAATCCCTCAGATAATAATTCAGGAATTGCTTTTTCCCAGCTACCCCTAAATAAACTGTAGTAGACAAGCCTTGGCAACTGTTGGCAATAAATAAAGATTACTACTGAGCTAGCTCCGTGCTCTGTTTTCCCCTAACGACACAGCTCAGAGCTGGCCACTCAAACACAGCATGTGACATGGGCCAGCCATCTGAATATTGTCAGACTGAGATGCTCTCCTGTGAAAAACGGAGCTAACATCATCCAACCGTGAGGGGCAGAGAAGCTAATGTATGCAAAGCCCCAAACAGAAGCCTGGGGCAGAGTAAATTGTGCTGACAGTTCCTACATCCTAACCAGAGGTTCTGGGCTCCACCCTTCTCCAAGGAGCCAAGTTGAATGATTGGAGGCCTCAGGACAATTGAGAGGGGAAGGTTAGCTGGTCTACTTTAGGCTGCAGTGTTTTTTTAAAGGAGGCTCTTTCCAAATCCAACTGGTCTGAGGCACCAACCTTCCAAAGAGGGTACACAAGTGAGGGAGAAAGGAAAGGAGGAGAGATACCCAGTGCCTGCTGTTGGGCACTGGAGAACTACAATACTTATTTTTACTAAGTAAATGAAGGGTAAGAAGATATATCTGAAGACCCCACGTTTAAACGTTGTCACTAGAACCCAAACGGTACCTCGTGGTGAGACCACAACCAACACTGGCCAGCTGAGTGACCTCAGGCACACGGGTGATGGACGTGGTTTCCTCTTTTGCCAAATGCTGGGTTATAAATACAACGGGAGTATGAGAATGAAGTCATGCAACAAAACACTGTCAGGCACAACATACATGGGAGATGTTAGCATTGAGATCCCATCACAGAATTACAGAACCATTCCTGCAGGGTGGGTAGAGAGCTTTCCCACCTCACAAAGGTGTCTGCTAGAGAGGATGATGGCCCGCCCAGGGCACACAGATGGTGGGTGACAATCGCTAGCTGTTCCCCCTTTCTCCCTTCCACTCAGGAGTCCTGGGGGGAGGGGCAAAACCTTCTACCCACAGGCCAGGAAAACAAAGGACGCCCCCGCCCCACCCCCATCTCTTCCTGGGCCGTCGGTGCAGCACAGCTGAGGTTTGGAAGGAGGATCCACAACGCACACTTTTCCTCCCCACGGATTTAACTCCAAGATGACATTACCCATGCGGAAAAGCCACCCACGCAGGAGGAAAGTTCATCTCGAACCCCGGTGCACGGAGGCTCCTTACCTTCCTCATTTAAAATCCACGGCAGGAACGCAAATACCGAGTCATAGCCACAGGTGTTCTCTTCAAAGGTGCAGGACCCAGCGGGCAGGTCCAGCGCACCGGCCAGCTGCAGAGCTGCGGGCACAAAGGGAGTTTCAGTTCTGGCTGCAGCCGGGGCGCGTTTGCACCAACTCGGGGCGCCCCTGGGAAACTACCTGGTGAAAGTGGGGGAAAGGCGTGGAGGAGGGGGCAGGAGAGAAATGCACTACTGTCCCTTCCCCTTCCCGCCTCCAGGGTGCTTCCAGGGCACGAACCGGTGCGCACCCCCATCGCCACCCCAGGCTTGGCTTGGGGAGCGAGTTTAGCGGCTGCGAAGAAGGATCCGGAGGCACCCTCGGATGGCCCAACGCAGGACCACCAGCCCCGCCACTGGGATTGCAGGAGAGGGGGAGGGTCACGAGAGCGTTCCCCGGGTGGTTCTCCCTTACCTTGCACTGCCAGGAGGACGCCCCTTAACAGCATGGTCACGCTTCAAGGCGGAGGACCAAAAAGGGGTGCAAGCTGCCAGCCCGCTGGGACGAGCAGCTCCCAGCGGAAAGGAGCGTGGGAGGCGGGGGGGGGCACCCCGGGACCGGGAGGGAGAGGCAAAGCGTGCTCTTGGAGCTGAGCGGAAAGCTGAAGGTGCCTGATTGGAGAGAGCGGCTCGCTCTGCTGCGGCCGCGGGTCTGACCACGTCCCTACTGAGGCCGGTCCGCGCGGCACAGCTGGTCCTGGGCGAGGATGGGGCCGGGCGGGGAGGAGACAACGGCACCCTTCTGAAAAGCCAGCCAGGACTGGCTGCGAGAGGAGAGGTCGGGATGCAGTGCCTCTGCTCAGGGTTTTAAAGCTTGGGACCAGACCCCTTGAAGACAGTTGGAGGGGGCAGGCCTTCCAGGAGCCCCTCCACTGGGTTGGGACAGGAGGCCCTCTGCCCCGCCCATCCGCGGTGGGAACCAGCTTATTTCTGGGGACAGCCTCCCCGCATCTGGCATGCCAGTCCTGCAAGGCTGGCCCTAATTTTAACTTCTCCCCAGAGGGGATAAGGGTAGAATTCTCCTAGGAAAACCTAGAGGAAATTTTGGAAACTGTAGGGTGCAATAAGATTTATATCACGGGAGTTTCAGCGTTTATGGCCCAGTAACGCTAACCATGGTTTACCAGCCCCCTCCCCCGCCCCTCTTTTAGCAGTGGAATGTCTGGCATGCCTGGTGCTCCCTCTGTCCGGTGAAATGGGGGCATTCCTCCTCTCCAGAGAGCCATGATAAATTTATAGAAGGTTTCTAAATTGGGGTGTGGGGCATGGGGTGGTGAGATGGGGGAGCGGTTTGCTGTGAGGTGCCCACGTGCTACAAATTTGCTTTGGGCACTAAGTGGGTCTTTAAAAATGTTCTGTACCAGTAAAGAAAGTTGTGGGCTGTTTTTCTTCTTCCCCTTCCCCTTCCCCTCCTTTTCCTTCTTCTTCTCCTCCTCAATCCTCCTTATAATTTTGTGCAGGCAATTTTATGCCTAGAGTAGTGGTTCTCAGACTTGAGGGTGCATCAGAATCCTCTGGAGAATCCTCCATCAGTTTCTGATCCAATAGATCTGGAGCGGGGCCCGAGATGCTGCTTATTCCTAACAAGTTTCCAGATGCTCATACTGATGCTGCTAGTGTGAGAACCACTGGCCTAACAAACTCCTGTTCAACCGTCTAAGCCCTACTCACATGCCACCCCCTGGTTTCCAGACTCTTCCTTGTCATTCATTGGCAGCTCCTTCTCAGTCTCCTTGGCTATTTCTGGTTATCTCTCTGACCCCTGAACATTGGAGCGCCTCCAAGTTCTGTCCTTTTGTCTCCTGCTTCTTTCTCTACTCACTTCCTCAGGGATTTCATCCACTCTTATTGTGTGACACACCGATAGCCCAATGACTCCCAAATGTATATTTCTAGCCCAGATTGCTCGCTAAGTCCAGCCTCTTCTATCTCATTGCCACGTTAACATTTTCATTTGGATACTTAAGAGCGATATCCTTGATTCTTCTCTTCCTCTCAGAGTGTTATCAAATTCTGTCAGCTCAGGACTCAGAATATAGAGGGTGTTGACCATGCCCACTGTGACTGCCTGAATTCAAACAGCCATCGTTGTCTGCGGGATATTAGCAGCCTCCTAACAGTGTTCTCTCCACTCCTTCTGCCATGCCCTCCTCCACTCCATTTTTAACACAGTAGCCAGGGGATAGATCCATTTAATACAGAAACTGGGCTGTGTCACTCCTTGGCTTAAGGCTCCTAACAACTTCCCAAATCATTTAGCAAACCCCAAACTCTTTACAATGACCTACTAGGTCCTACAAGACCTGTCCCCACCCTTCTGATCTCATCCATCCTGTTTACTCCCCTCCAGCCACACAGACTTCACGGCTGCTTCTCAAACAGTCCAGACATCCTCTCAGAGCTTTGCACTGGCTGTTCCCTCTGCTTGAAATGCTGTTCCCAGGACTGTCGTGTGACTCACACTGTACTCCCTGAGGTCTTTACTCGAATGTCACCTTCAGGGTTAGAAAACAGGCTTCTCTCTAGTTAGAAAAAGCCCCATGGGATCCTTTCAAAATGAGCTTGGACAAATTTTTGTGAGTTTTCTGTAAGCAATGACTCAAATGATCTAAAATTTGTTTTCTGTACTGTAATTATTTGCTTTGCCTCACGGAGTAGCTAATAATAATAACATTTATTGTGTTTACTATTATAAGTGTTTTATAGAGAGAATCTCTCAACTTCCAGAAGGGCTTTATGGGATAGATACCATTATGACTCACATTTAACAGATGGGGAAACTGAGGTGCAGAGTTCATTGGCAGCAAGTGGTAGAGACAAGACTCAAGCCCAGATTGGCTTTATTCCAAGAGCTTGTTTTCTCAGCCAGTATGTAGCCTGTCTCCCTTGTCTTGTATCCTTCTTTGATTTTTTGCACACAGGTGGTGCTAAATAGCTGATGAATTTCATCAAATTACTTAATTAAAAATTCAAAGACAGCTATGAATCCAATTGAAACCGCAGAACACTATTTTCAATGAAACGAGCTTTCAGCAACTGTCAAACTGGTGCTCCTTTTTTTTGTTTCTAGGTACCTACGGAGTATTTCAAAGTTTTAGGATTGCCTTAGATTTATTTGCATGTCCTAAATCTTAGGTAAATGAAAAACTTCAAAACCCTAAAGAGATCTCCAAAAAATTTTAAGTATTATTTAAAATTTCAAAGCAATATCATTTTTTACTACCTATGAGAAACAGAATCATTACACAAACCGCAAAGTTAGTCAGAGGAAAATTTCTATTGCATATATAACTGTATGAGCCGAAGAACAGATGGTCCTTTGACAGTGGCACAGGTTGGAGACTCTGGAAAGCAGACTTTGATTTTGAGTTTATAGTGCAAGGTGTTTGCTAGGGGGTATCTTTGGGACCAACTCTTGTGGCAGGGAGGTGGAGGAAGCAGAGCTAGGCTGAGGGAGAAGTAACACAGGTCAGCAAAGCCTCTTCTGACCCCACAGGGAACTTGGGAGTTAAAGTGGCCCATTTGACTTGTCCCGTATTAGGCTGAAATAGCCAGATTCTTTGTACCGCTGTCTCCATTGGTCACTGGAAGGGTGATCACCAATACAGCAGCTCTCTGCACTGAGGCTGATTCAAAGGGGCTGACAGCTAAAGGCCGTTTGATGACAACACTCCCAGCAGCTGGGACAAGTTCTTCCTTGAAAGATGATGTGGATAGCATATCAGTGTCCATCACAGTTTGCAGAGAAGGGAAAGGATGTTGCATAGGGAGAGGACCCGGGAAGGAATCCAGAAAATCTACAAATTATGGGTGTCAACCCACTTTCTCTGGTCACTAATCATGGAGCCAAGGCCATGTACAGCCTTATCACTTGGGAAAACAGCGTCAGGCCCCACGGTAGGAGCAACCTGGAACTCTTCTTCAAGATCTAGGTTCATTAAGTGCTCAATAATGCAGTGTAGTTCCGGGTTATAGAAAGCACTCAGAAAACGTTAGGTATTGTAGTGGGTTGAATGGTAGCTCCCCAAAAAGATATGTCTACAGCCTGGAACTTGTGAATGTGACCTTATTTGGAAAAAGGGGCTATGGAGATGTAATTAAGTTAGAGATCTTGAGATGAGATCATCCTAGATTATGGGGTGGGCCTTATAAGAGACACTTATGGCAAGTGTTCTTATAAGAGACAGAAGAGAAGTACCAGAAACATGAAAAGATGAAGACAGTGATTGGAGCGATGCAGCCCCAAGCCAAGTTGTGCCTGGGAGGAACCACCTGAGCTGTAAGAGCACTGGACAGCTTCCCTCTTAGGACTCCAAAGGAGGGTGGCCCTGCAGACATCTTGATTTGGGACCTCTGGCCTTCAGTATCAGGAGGGAATATCTTTCTGTTGTTTTAAGCCACTCAGTTTGCAGTAATTTTTTCTGGCAGCTCTAGGAAGCTAACATAGTGTTATTCATCAAACATATGCTAGGCACTTTACATGCATTATCTCACTCAATGTACGCATCGTCCCTACGAGGAGGACACCATTGTTATCTCTATTGTACAGATGAGGAAACAGGTCCAGAAGGGTCAATGTACTTGTTCAAGGTCACACATCTAGACATTGTGTGCAGCCAGAATTTGATCGCATATACTACACTGCCCCTAGAAGCTTCCTCTTTACAAAAGCCTGTCTCTCCTTACAAGGACAGCCACATGTAAGCAAAGGAACCTGCCATCCCTGTCGGCACCCACACAGTCTGTCCCCTCACAGAGCTTGGCCCACCCTGTGCCCTTTGTCACTCTGCTTGGCATCCTGCTCTCCTTGGGAGCCCTTAACCAGGGGTCCTACTTTTCGATGCACCACTTTTGGTCTGGAGATCTCCAAATTCTTGCTTCTAACTTTCTGGGCAAAAGAAAGAAAGGTGAAACACTGAGGGCCCTTGCAGAATCCTGTGTCACTCTCGGTTCACGTTCTTCTCTCATAGCCAGATGAAACATGAGAGGGACCAAGCCTATCTGTGGGAGGAAATAAAGAAACCCAGTGTTCACGATGCATTCTAGCATGCACCATTGATGGTAGGCCAGACGTGAAGGCTGTCTTCACCACCCACTTTCCCTTCAGTTTGCACTCTCTCCTTTCTTGTCATTCTCATGTAGTGCCACATAATGGTAAGTTCAGCAAACATTTCCTGAGCACCTGCTATGTGCCAGGCACTGTGCTCAGGGTTGGAAATCCCGGGGTGAAGAAGACACATTCTCTGCCTCTAAGACAGGAGACTGGCCCATGAAAGCATCCTTTCAATAAAATATGTTGGTGAAATAGAAGATGGGCTGTTGCAAACATTTAAAAGCCAGGGGCCAGGGAGTAACAAATGAATGCTAAGAGTGCTGGTATCAGAGAGACAACGGGGAATGATGGGGATGGTGGTGAACAGCAGCAAGCATGCCCAACTAACGGGCATCGTGGGCACCAGCCTGGGGCAAAGCTGCCACAGTGGGACAGAGGTCCAGCACTGTCCATTCCACCTGTTTCTCTAAAGAACCCCAGTGTCCAGACTACATGTAACAGCTCTTGATTTTAAAATGCTAGCAATTCATAAAAACAAAGTATATTTAAATCTTTGTGGGAGTGAACCAAAACCTATTGAGAGGCTCAATTCAATTCTTGAGCTGGAGTTTACAGCGCCAAGACTGAACCAAGGAGATGGACACTAAGAGACACCTCGCCACCACCCACTAGCCAGTAACACATGACCAGCCCCATTCTGGAGAAGAGGAAACTGAGGTAGAATGTGTCTAGATGACTTTTAACCAAGGTTACA